GCCTGTTACTATTCTGTGAGGAAACCACTATCTCCCGCAGACTGTCCTGTAGCTCTTTGAAACTGACTTGTACCTGGATCTGGCAGACCTGTGGGGTCTGATTCCTGCATAGGCTTCTTACTTCAGCACATAATTTAAACCACCATCTGTGACAGATGATGTGCTGTTTATCCATGATCATGCAGACTCCCATATTCCTTGCATGCACTACATGTCTGAGTCGTTTTTGTAATGTGTGCTTGTGAAACCTCTAGAGACCTCTCGTTTCAGAAGACTTTAAGCACAGAAGGCCAAGCTTGCATTAGACAGCTAGATCCTAAAGAGAGCGAAGTCCCTGAAATGTTTGTTCCATCTGGGCTTTGGCATCAGCTTTTTTCTTGGTCAGATATCCACAGTGCTCTTGGCAGGTTGGCAGAATTAGCTAATTGACACAAAGTACAGTTGCCTGTACTCTGCCCAAGTCAGAGCCAATGCACAGGGCAAGGTGGTGTGGGAAAGGTGTTTACAGAGACAGCTATTTTCAAAAGTGCTAACCTGACCACTGTGAAAAAAGGAATAAACCAAAGCCCACACTTCTCTGAATTTCCAACATGGAAATTGTTTATTATCAGTTTGATTCTTGGAGACTGCATATGTTTTTATTGTTGTTGACAATTTATACTACCCACCTGATCCAGTCTTACATACAACAGAAAATTCTGAACACTGAGAGCACTCTTCATGGATAGCGCACAGCCCATGTCTGCAGTCCTTGCAGGAGCAAAGGAAGTAAACAAGGAGGATGCTCCCATTTCACCAGCACTAAGTATTTGAGGGCTTTCCTCTTGAAATGGGAAATCTATATTCTGCATGTAGCTGGAAGAGTCCATGCTAGGATCTGGGTAGGCAGAAAGATACAGAAACCGCCTTTGCCCTTCCTTAGCATCACTGGCTCGAACCTATATGATGCAGGAGGCTTGTGGTAGCATCGTTCTTGCATACAGATCTTGCACTGCTATGAAGGAACTCATGTGTACTACGCCATGGTTAGAGGATCCCCATAGAGTGTACTTACTGTAAAGGGCAAGGTTGTATGTCACTGTTCACATCCATGTTTCAAAATCCTTTGAGAATTTTGCTCGGTTGCCACTCTGCACATCTCCTATGCAGCTGCCATAAAATACTTTCCTGGATAGGGCTGGTGTTAACAGGCATCCCAAAATGTAATTGAACACAATATTTGTGCTGATTTTTAGCAGTTGCTTCTGCACCAATGATTAGAATGAGGGTAAAGGGGATTAGAACAGCATCAGTACAGTTAATTGTGCCTCAGAGCAGGGGACCTGAAGTTCTTCTTAGCTTTGTTTTATATGAAACTATTGGTAAGACCATCAAAGGCATGGGACAGAAATCAGAGCAAATAACAGGTGTGGTGTTTTCTTTAACTGCATGTTAGTGTAGAGCACCATTCACCTGAAAAAGGGACTGGGTATTGGGGACAGCTGCTGCACAGAACAGGATTCTGCTCACTATAAAACTCCCTTACTTCGAGTCACTTCAGGATTTGTTTTACAGTTTAATTCTTACATGTTTTTGAAGTGGACAAAATCAGATAGATGTTAATACAAAACCCTATTATGCTATCAGTACTACAAATGACATTATTTTAATGAGAAGGCATTTTTAGAAGAGTAGCCTTTTTTGCATCAACATAAAACCTTTGTTCTACAATAATGCTAGTTTTTTTATCAGTTCAAACAGTTCCCACTAGGCATTCATGTACTATACAGGATGCATTCCTCATTTTCCTTTGCTTGTTTTTAGATGCTATCTGAAAACGAGAGGAACCTGTGTAGTATAAATTGTCAAAGATTTAGGCTAAGAGATCCTGTTATCTGTTGTTTTCTCATTATTTAAAGATATTGAGTCTTTGATTTTGTTT